CTACGATTCGGAAATGGAGTGGTATGAACCAGATTAGAGCAGTATTCAACAGCAGCAGCAGTGCTGCTCTTTCCATTCAAATAAGTTACAAAATTGTCACTTCTCTTCAACAGGCCTCTATTCTAATCCAGTTTATGAGCCTGGCCTTGGAACGGCATGAACGGCAGTGGGTGTTGTTGCTGTTGTTGTTGACCTAACATCAGTTCCCTCATTCCGAGTCGTCACCCATCTTCCCCTCGGAGAATATGCACATGGTCAACTACGTGTCGGCGACAATATGAAAATTTTGAGGAAATTCTGGAAAATTCTTGTTAGTTTCCGTACAATCTTACTGTATATAAACTCCCAAAATAAGAGAGGGAACTCTTGAGCTCTGCCTTTGGAAACAAAAATACATTCCTCTTCCCCCACCACGCTACCTGTCTGCTGCCTATCCGACTGCTGCTGTTGCTGTTGCTGCTGTAGTAGTGGCATCCCCAACGTCTGTTGTTGTTGCTGCTGTTGAGTCGCTCCCTGTTGACCATCCAGGAAAAGGGCGGAAGTGGCGGTGACATCAGCACCACCTGAGGAAGGGTTGCCACTCAACCCAGTAGAGACAAGTCGTGCACTACCCCCTCCTATGAGCTGTGTATACAGGTTGGCCCGGAGATCGGTGTAACTACAAGCACGTATTAGCATACCATCTTTTGCGGAACTTCCAACGGCGTTATTACATCTTGCACGAGAACACTAAGCAGGCTCCCATCACCAACGTATCCTGACAGAGACCCGAAATTCCCATACCACTCCTCCCTCAAAAAGCCGCAAATCACAGGACAACACCCCGTCTCATCCCCATTACCATGACCATGGTGCCTAGGATGACCCCCTCCAATCCTGGTGTGAGCTTCAAAGAATCATGAGTCTTCTGGTCCATACCCTAATCGACCAAAACCATACCATCCCTTCGCCACTTCCTACTGCCACTACCTCTATACTCATACCAACATTAATAGTCGCAACTACATCTATCCCACAATTGAATGCACATAGAAAAGAGTAGAATGCAATGCCGGACAACAACCACCTAAAATAGAGAATGCCTTTCAACCGCCCTATTAGTCTCTACTACTACTACTACTACTACTACTACTACTACTACTACTACTACTACTACTACTAATACTACCTCCGGAACGTAGCATATCCCAAGAGTGCAAACATGAGGTCCAGCAGCGCACCCCAGCCATCTCCATAGATCATATGCCCGAACGACAGCACGACCTGTTTTCACGGTTCGCTATACATAAGCTCATCTGTATCTTACCAACATCATAAAAGATACATCAAGATACTTCCGGTACTTCAAGGCTGCGTGCGTGGGAGGGACCGGCACGCTCATGTACACGTCAGACCTACACTATCAGTGTATGTTCGTTTTCCTCACCTGAGCTCTAAAGTTTTCCCACAGGGGAGTCAAACCATCAAAAATTTCCCAAATTTTCCTCAGAATTCCCATATTGCCACTAACACACGTAGTTGACCATGTGTAAATTTTCCCCACTTGCACTACCCGTCCGCGACTGGAACGAGCATAGTAGTAGGGCAAAATGAACGACGCCCAATACAGGACGGAAGAAACTACTGACATTGTCTTGAGGCAACCCCAACTGAACTCGCGCATATGAGGAGATGAATAGAAACCAGAGATAATGAAAAAGGCGACAAACATGAAGGTAGGTGGGTCGAATAATAATACAGTGGCAAACTTCCCAATAAACCTCGCTATTGGATAACCTGCAGTAGCTGCGCCTCAGCAAACCCCTCCTCTTGCAAACGGTTAATCAACTGACTAACCACCTGAACACAGCGAACACTCTCAAATTCCATCCACAGACCTCGCTCCCCTACCAAAGTAACGGGGAAAATTATCTACAGAATGGTGCAAAAAAAGGGCCCATCCCTTGAAATTTCCCAGAAAAAAAGGTACGGCGTTTCCCTATGTCGCCGATTTTGCGTTTGGCGATAGCTCAACCTTGTATAGAGTGTAGGGCAGCAACCGACGTGGGCTATTGTCGAATGATACTCATTTTGTTCATCAACTCTCACACATTGAGAAAGTACAAGGGATGGACCCTTTTTTCGCGACGCCTACTTACCATAGTGACAACTTCTCTCTGCCGGGTGAGCTCCTCCGAGTCCCCTCCATCCCCCGGAGCATCCACACGAAGGACCTCCAATCTCCTCCTTAATGGCGGGGCTGCTTGTGACAGATCAGCCGCGAAGAACAGAAGATAAAGTCGCTAAACAAAAACCGCTTCGCTCCGCTAACAGCATCACCTACTCCAACGCTACCTCGGACATAGGCAGAGCCACACCATGCAAAAGGACCTCCAGCGTTTGAGAAGGATCATCGAAGCGGTTGACCTCAGTTCTGAACGACGACGCTACATCATCAACTCCAGAGTTCACCCATTTTTCCTACACTAAAGTGATGCTGGTGTCTCCGCTGGGATTCGTACTCGAGTCGGACATTTCCAGATACTTCTGCCTGCTGCGGCACTTCAATACGAATTTACGTATCTGTCAATCCGACCAACAGCAATCAGGCAACCATCCAGCTTGGGGAAGTACAGTTCCCCCAAGGTTTGGTAACAATGGTGAAAATGCTCCTAGTGTTACATTTACACGGAAAACTGATTGTTGTGCTTTCCTAGTCATGTGGAGAATCAAAAATGGGTTCCCTGATAGCAATCGACCGCCCCCCCCTACGATTTCGTGGTCCAACCGTCGCCTATGGAGCTTCGCAAAAGGATAATTAGTAACTAAAATGGGTGCACATAGTTCATTGGCCATTGCACCCGACAGAGCTGTTGTCACTTTCGGAGTGCTTGCATCGCAGAGCTGAGCACATCTCGAGACTAGCCAAAAGAATGGTAGCGCGGTCCGGCAGAGGGTCAACTAAGAAGGTACCTGCCGATGATGACTGTTCATAGAATTCAACATAGCCCTACAGAAGTGCAAGTCGCTGAGTCTCATCGCCTGACCAGTAGCGTATCCAAGGCCAGCACCAGCACCAGCGATATTCAGGCTGGGTATTTTATTAAAACTAGTACTGCCCGACGAAGGGGTCTGACTCACCCTGAGGGCCTTCAGTTGAGTCTCTAGTCGCTTCACCTGACGATGAAACACCCCTGTGAGTAGAGGAGAAGTGCTTGAGTGGTTCCTACTGAGAGGCCGACACGTAGCTCGTCTCTGAGGCTACTCAGTTCATCGACATCCGAAGAGTCAGCGTATGAACTGGAAGAAACGCTTCCATCGTCGGATTCCTGAGGGCATATGATCAGCAATTTACCACGCGCCATGAAATGCTTGTCAGAGAGTACATCGTCATAGTCTGACTCCACCATATCGCCAAATCTGTCCTCGATAGTACTCCTCCAAGCGCCGCTGCTGTCACCGGAACCCAGCGAACTCGTACCGTGAGGCCGCAGTCTAATAAGATAAGAACTTTGCCCGCCATCCAAGCGTTCCAGGTTCAATCCCTGCCCCTTACGCCCCTTGATTGTTCGGCCTCTTTGCGGCTGGTGTAGCTGTCCTTACATTACACTGTGGGCCTTCGTCCGACACTGAGGAGGTCCCTGACGACACATCCACTGTAGCCCACCACATCCTAGACCAGCCCCCACCTCTAAAGTCATCTCCCTGCTTCTCTAGGAAGCCCCTGGCGGTCAACCGCATGGATGAACTCCCACAGCCGGATACAGGCGATGATGACGACATTCAAATCAACAACAAGTGCTACTGCGAACGGATACCCAAATTCTGTCAACACCTCTGTGGCTGATCAGTTTTAATATGCAGTATACATGAAGCCCTCTCCAATGCTAACCGAATATAAAGACCAACCAAATCTGGCGCTACGTCAAACGACAACACTGATCATTACGGACCTCCTAGGTAAATGCCTTGTGCCAGTGAGCCAGGAAAATGTGCACATGCTCAACTACATGTGTTGGCGAGAATATATGGAAATTATGAGGAAACTCCTGAGCTCTGCTGAGGAAAGCGAACATATATTCCGATACAGGCTTGGGCTGTAGGCGGATTCGCCGGGGCTTGCACCAGTCGCGACAACTCCACATGTGATGCCGTCTATCACCCGTATGGTGTTGCTGACGAGGGCGCTGATTCCGAGGATTGACCATTTCGCCATAAATTCTACTCGTTCCTGTTCCCACCCACTGATGTCCACATCAGTTTCTACAGTAGGCCCACCAAAATCGACATCTACGTTTCCCCGAAGACCGAATCGGCAAAAAAATCTCAGCGGCGGTGACCACCCAGGGTTCGCCAACCTGCCTTACTTGGTGAAACTCCTTCCGGCTTGGCCAAGTCTGGATTTGGCAAAATGCAATACAGACCCTTCCTAGACCAGAAAATGACTAAACAGAAAAAAGACCAACCTGATTAATTTCTGCTGACAGCACGAATTTCGACAATCGCGCTCGCCCGGCGACAAAGTCCAGCTGGGAAAGTGACCATAGACGTTGTTAATGTAGAGGGTTTAAGGAGTAGCACTGAACCCGTCATCGCGCTAGTTCCGATGATTACGGTGAGGTGTAACATCATTGGGCTATATACAGAGTTCGGCATTGGCCTCAGGCTTTTATCCGTTTTTACTTGCCAGTTTTTCTCGCTATATTCATGTCAAGTCTCGATCAACTCAGCGGACTAAGGACAGGAGTGAAAAGGTAATAAGGCGTGGAAGATCACCATGCAAGTCATCGGTGGGCTGGTCTCGCGTAGAATGGGAAATGCCGTACCACACCTCCGCCAACTCTCGCAGACTAACTCGCCTACCATTCAATCGCCTAACGACCATCTTTCATCCGCTCGTTTTGTCCCTCTTGATACGTCAGTGATATTATCGTGAAGCCTGGCTCGACGGAGTCAGCCCATCATGGCGAATCATGCTAAGTTCACAAGGGTTCATCTGAGAGCACGTAGTTGTTACCCACTTGTGGAAGCCTTACGCAGCGTTTGAAATGCCTCCTCTGAAAGCGGGTGACAATGTGATTTTGATATCAACTGTTCTGGTCTTTCAGGACTGACTCGACCTTCTCTTACGCCACCTCTATGGCTAGTCGATACAGCAACGACCCTCATGCCGTGTTGTTGAGCCCTCCTCCGGAGGTGGATATCACAGTAGCAGCACATGCATCGGACGTTATGTGGCCTATGAATATGGGCACGAGGCAACAGATAGAGCTGGCCAAGGCTAGGAATGCTACTGTGTCGGCGTTACGGGGTATGAGGAAATTGGAAAGCGAGGTGAGTAGTAGTAGTAGTAGTAGTAGTAGTAGTAGTAGTAGTAGTGGTAGTAGTAGTAGTAGTAGTAGTAGTAGTAGTAGTAGTAGTGGTTGTGGTGGTGCTCTCGAAGGAGTTGGCTATGGCCTCGTCTTCGTATCAGATAAACGCGTTGAAGGGCCGATTGCAGGATGTGGAAATGGAGAAAGAGGTGAATGAGAAGCACATGAGGGAAGAAGTAATAATGTTGGAGGCGTGTATCGACACCAAAGGGTCGTTCATTTGACAACCTAGCCATCGTCAATTTACTCTATTGTTGATATCAGAGGATCGCCCTTATGCATAGAATAAGTAGTTTGTTGGCTTTGGTGAGCCTAGGCCTAGGATGATCGCTTGCTCGGTGTTCCTCCCAACATTGTTGATCGTGATGAACTCTCCCAATGTGGTCTAGGAGGAAGTGGCATCACTCGTGTTTGGCTAGTGCTCTACTCGTGTGAAGAACAACTCGGTCCGATTTACCATTTTTCCATCAGATTGAGCGATTGAGGGCCCGTGGTGCCGTGAGGGTAGCTAGTGTTGAAGACGACGGTGGTGATGAAGAGATACCAGATGAGGCCGACAGCACCGTTAGTATAATACAACCTACACAAGGGTGAGGACAGAGCTGCTCAACAGGGCGTGGATGTCCATTTTAGTTGCAACGGTGATGAGGGATCTTCGAAGAGATTCTTCGATCGGGCTATCGAGCAAACGTAATAAGCTCGGGCAGGGGGAGCTTAGGCGTTGTGGAAGGGCTAGTCAGCGACGATGGCTGGATTTTGAGCTTTTTATCGGAACTTGGTATGGTTGGCTTCAGGTTGGAATCAGCCAAGCAAGAAGGGGCATCCAATCGATTTATGATGGGCCCTCCTGAAGGTCAGGACATTACCTTGGAGATGGCCAATAGGGCCCTGGCTAATGGATGCAAGCAAAGAGATGAAGAGATCACTAAGCTCAAGGTGGGCGGGATGGGTACCCTTGAATGCAGAGATAAGTTGTCATGATGTGGTTCGTTCGCGTGCTCGCTGATCATACTTTTCTTACTGTGGTGACACGCGATTATTTGGGGAGTTGTCGGACTCCTTTAGGCCGAGCTGGAGAGAGTTACTAGTGAGCTCAACGAGTTGCGGACTAAAGAGAGGATGCAGAGGTCCGATAAGGAGGTGGCAAAGGGTGATGATGACGATGATATGATGAAGAGCAACGGTGACACGAAGGATTGGAAGACAGTCGTGAGGAGCACAGCTGGTGATGGGGGACAACAGGGAGAGATGCCCAGTAGTTCACAGACGAACAGAGTGGAGCGGAAATGGTAGTGATGCCAGGCCAGTTTTGTATCTTGCACGGTCGAGCCTTGGATATGCTGTATTCTAGGTATGAGAAGTTGCTATGCTTTTCATCTGATGCTACTCCCCCAGTGGATGTGGAATCGGCGCCCACTCGATCGAGCCCCCCTCCGGTGCTCTCCGCTCGAACTGAAGCTACAACGGCTCCGCATTCTCCTTAGACTAGGCTCCTGGACATTCTCAGTGTACGATTAATTCACCAGTGTATCAATACTTTTGTACACTACTACTATTATAGTCTTCAATCTCCTATTTCCGAACGTGAGCCAAGAAGACAGTAGGATCATCCCGAATAGTTCTACTTGCATCTTTTGGGAGTATGAAGGACGAGTTTGATGTTCTTTGTTGGGTTGTAGTGGTCAACAACTTGTAGTTATTTGGAGGGTGTAGTGACATAGGGTACTGAAGGATGAGTAGGTGTTATTAGTGTATAGTTTAGTATACTTTTTTTCTGTTTTTAGTATAGCCACTGTAGTTATTTTATGTCATGTTATAGGGGTATCGAGACGATTTCCGGTGGGTATTTCTTTCGAGTCAGGGTACAGGTATGTGTGGCAACTCATGGAATACAGAATTGAATGGCTCTCGGCTGGGCTGTGGAGGACCGGGCCATGTGGAAAACCATGTTTGTTTGTTGTATCGCTGTCAAGTCTCTGGGTGTGGTAGTGATGGAGGGAGGGTAGCTTTATAGCTGGAATCTCTACACTGACGCCTCCGCAGCAGCGCATTTGGGCCTGGGTCCACTCGCGGAGGTAAAGGACCTTCCATGGTAGAGAGGTAGACTCGGAGAGATGGCAGATAGAGAGCGAGAGAGAGTCCATGATGGGATCGCTAGATATTCTATCACTGCTGATGATTGGATGTCTCCATTACCACTATGTATCGCGTCTGTGAATTCAATGGGACGTATGAGCTTATTCGAAGAGAGTTGGCTCGACAGCGACGTGTGACTTGAACCCATCTTCGCTGTTGTATATCGGCACTCGATCGCGGACGAAATTACAATGTCGAGTCGTCTTCAGTGTTTCAACAAGAAGATAGGGACACGGATGCTCAGTGTTCTTTTCTAGGAGGGCAATCAACACTTGCTGTCGCCTCTGCAGTCTTGTTATCTTTTTATGTGAAGTATGGCGGCCAAAGCTTGTCCTCCGATCTTGCGTGTTACACTATTGGGGATGGGTGGTAGCGGTAAGACGTCATTAGTGAATTCATTCGTGAGGGCATCGGGCGCAGTGCCTCCTGATGGTGAGTATCCTTTCACAGGTTAATAATACAGTGTTGGATGAGCATACTCCGACAGACCATCCTACTCTGTATTATAAGGTTGGTTCGCTACTCGCTAGTGGGCCTCCGTCGCGATTCGTGTACTCATAGACGGTGTTGTCATCTGGAGGCGACGATGAGGTGGATGAATGGTCGATGTTGGAAATTGAAGATACTTAT